TATTCTCTAGATATGATGCAAACCATTGGTGCTGTCTCTTATACACATCTTATATCTCAGTACACAAGTCCAGCGTTTTAGGCTGACAAAATGAAAAACAATTAGTAAAAATAAAGTCAAATTTAGATTACAGTACCTAAAAAAAAATGGACATTTTTTTTATAGATGATGCTTTCTCTTTAAAAAGAAATCGTTTTTAATTTAATTCACAAACATCATGTTTTAAACAAAAATATTCATAGTTGTGCCTTGTTTTGCTAAAGGTAAACATTGTTACATAACAATCTCCCCATGTTAAAAAATATTGAGAAAAAAATATTGTACTCTCAAATTGTGGGAACGGTTTGGTTTCGGTCCTTGAGTAATGCACTTTATCTGCATTGCTTCTCTCCAGCTAGGAGTATAATTGGGTACCTGGTGGAGTTGCCTGCTCCTGCGCTGATTACCAGCAGCAACACTTGAGCATGCAGACCCAATGACTAGGGAATATAAAAAATGTTATATTAGCTCAAGGAAGAGGCGCATTATAAATGCCTATACCAGTACCATTATTGAGGAAACAAGTGGGAAATACGAAAAAAAAACAAACATTGGTGTTCAATCCTATAGTGAGATTGGGCTCTTTTCGTGATGACTTTCTAAGTCGATCTAATTTTACATGCCAAGTTGTTGTGTTTTCCATTAATTAACAGTCAGTAAGTAGGTCGAATAATATTTCAATGACATTTTAGATTCGACTTGGGCAAGTTCAACTGTATAACATTTGACATAACTAATTGTGTGAATATTTTTTTTGAATATGTGTATATTTTGTTTTTAATTAAAATATATTAGTGATAATTAGTGGGATAACTTACCTTATAAAACGGACACAAATCACCAGGTTTTCTAATAATTGTGTACACTAGTTATATGGGCTAAAGTAGATGCTTAGCTGTACTGTATATTAAGATGTATTATACGCTACAACCATTACACAAACTACAGGGGGCAGTATACATTTTTTTTTATGCAAGTGGTGCAATAAACATGCAAAAAATAACTTCCTTGTTTGATGTTTTCTTTTCTTCAGTGGTGAATTCAAATAAGGGGAGGGGCCCCAAGCCATGCCATCCACCTAAATTTTTTCCAGTTACAAAAAAAAAAAATAGGGGAGGGAGAAGAAAATTATAATAAAATTTAGGTCTTAAAGTGCCATTTCCAGCCATCTAGATGTGTCATCCTCATAAATAAACCTCAGCCCCGACCATGATGGGGCTGAGGTGGTCTAGAATCTCCATCTGTAAAAGTTTCTCTCTGCGCGCTGCCACTGTTGTTTTTATTATATTTATATATTTCATTTTATCTAACACACAATGTAATGGAGCTATCTCTTTAACTTTAGAAGGCTAACATGCTGGCTCATATATATACTGTAACACCTAAATTGAAGCCCTCCCTCTTCAGTTTGCAAAAATTAGCCTCGAAAAGAAGCTCATGGGCTTCTTTTCAAGATAGCAAAGGCGGCTTTTTTTCAAGATAGTACAGTACATACACTCTACATGAAACAGAATAAATTGAAAACGAGCTTGGTTAATGCAAGTTAAATACACTCCATGATACAGGTTGATGTTACAGTGGCTTTATTTTACGCAAGTTCCGGCATTCATTTTGAAAAGAAGCCCCCTCTTTATTTTGCAAAAGTAGCCTCGAAAAGAAGCCCATGTTGAGAATTAAGCCCATCCAAAGTTCGCAAAAAAAAAAAAGAAGACCTGGGGGCGGATTGCTACAAAACGGTCTTAACTGGTAGTCTTAACTCCTCGAATAAAATCAGGATTTTCACTTAGACGGTCTTACTAAAGTCACTCTCCTAAGACTATTGCTATAAAACGGTCTTTGCTTAGACCGCTTTGAGTATTGAAATGCCAACAAACATTCCCTGGTAATAAAATTGAGGGTAGTGTTACGCTTGCTCAAAACATGCATATTTATCAAAATGAACGTAAATAAATGCAGACTGGTTTTTACAGATGCTGAGAAGCTTGCGGAATATCCGTCGTTTGATTCTTAGTCTTTGACGATCTAGGTCTAGTACCTGTAACGCCATGATGAAAATGATTTAAGACCGCTTTAAGCCTCATCCGAGTAAGCCTTAAAATTTAAGACGGCCAACTAGTTAGACCACGGTATAGCAATGGCCTATCATCATAGACCAGTAGTGACATCACAATTAAAGCCAGCTAAGCGTTAAGACCGTCTAAAGACTGCTTATAGCAATCTGCCCCAGGGCTTCAATTCAAGGTTTTACGGTAGGTAGGTATGTATATATATATATATATATATAAATCAGTAGGTAGACGCAGACAAAATAAACTGCTACGATACTTTGACTTGTAAGAGACATAGAAATATTTTATTTGCGAAATTTTCGGCAAAAATTGTATCGTAGCAGTTTATTTTGTCTGCATCTACCTACTGATTTATTCTTACGATGAGACATACGTGGATCCACATCAACAACACCCACATCTAGATGTGGATAAGAGACAGCATATATATATACTACTGAGACGCATGTAAGCCTAGGTCCCCATTATTACTACCTAGCAGAATAGGCTGAGCTGTGTAACTCCCTTGACAGTTTGGAAAAATAAACGAAACAAGAATACAGTGAAATATTGTCTCATTTGATTTATTTATTGCATTGGATCTCGAAGAAAGCATAACATGGTGGAAGACCCGGCTTGTTTCTGTAAATCGTTGAACGAAGTTGTGGATGTGAGTGGCTCAACCAGTTAACAAGTTTAGGCTACATGATATAGGCCTAATACAACACAACACGACGGCAAGCCTATTGGTTGTAATTTAAAACCCTGTCTCTCAAAGTGTTTCATTACACACAAAGTAATACTGTATATACTCTTGATTAAGCCACCACAGTGGTTTTTAAGCATTTACGGTATGTCTTAGACTAAAAAACATAAACCCAGGACACTGCAAAGTCAAATCTATAAGCATGAATTGAAGATTATTTACTCCTAAAGAAACCTGCATTCATCTTAAATTGACATCCTTCTTAAGTTCCTTGACATCAACTCCTTCGACATCACATTGAAATTGCTGGGAGAATGCATCAACGAAGCTGGGAATGGCATCATCTACTCTGATCTCTTTCCCTAATTCTGCCGTCAAGGATGTTACACCCTTACCCTCGATACCGCATGGAATTATGTTGGAAAACCAGCTCAGATCTGTATTGCAGTTCAACGCAAGTCCATGGCAAGTTACAAAGCGTTTACATTGAACACCTGCAAAAAAATCGAATTGATATATTATATAATTTGAATATTAAATATACAATATATAAATATAAAACCACAGAGGTAAAAGTATAAAAGTGGTGAAGCATTGTCTTCCACTTGAACAATTGTGGGTTTGAAACTGATGAAAACTTTAATCATCTTCACCAAAGAGTATAAATAGGTACTACCTGCCAGGTTGTGAATGATCTGGAACAACAGTGATGTATCTAGGGGTATGCAGGATGTGGGGGGAGGGGGCTGGGCACAAACACTGGAAATATATGAAGCCAAAAATTATGCTCAAGTATTTAAAAATCGCTTCATATTACATTATTTTTGTAGCTGGCTCCCACTATCTTAATCAATGATCCTCCATTTCATCTTAGCACCCCCATACTCCCCTCCCCACCATCAGCTCCATTCAAGACTGCCAGATATGCTACTGTTCTAGAAACAAGCAAAAAGGAACATCCTTCCATCTGTGATATACCTGCAAGCTCCCGCAATTAGGATTGCTGGAATATCGGTTTGGAAACGGGAGAACTTCATTTCAAAGCAAAATTTAATTTATTACCTATTGCAGCTATCTTGTTGTCATTCACCCAAACACCAGTATGTGGGGATGTTTCTCCCTGGATACTAAACCTCCGACACGTCTCTATGATGCATTTCTCAAGCTGACAAACATACCACCGCACACTCTTTTTAAAGTCACCGAGATATAAAATTGGGTATGCCACCAGCTGCCCGGGTCCATGAAACGTTATTAGACCACCTCGGTCTGTCTGCAGAAATTCTGCTCCAAGTTTCTTTAAACGTTCCTCTTCCTGCTTTGGATAGTCTTTAGTCCTGATGCCTATGGTATAGACTGGATTGTGCTCACATAGTATTAGGGTGTTTGAGCATGCTTTATAGGATTTCTTGTTGTCAAGACTGTTTTTAATATTCGTTTGGATTGATTTCTGAATGCTGAGAGCTGTTGTGTATGACACACGACCAAGATTGCATACCCTCACCAGAGGGTGACTGGCTGTCATCTGCAAGAGAAATAAGGAATGCATGATAACAAAACTGTACTGTAATTTTGATTATAATCTTTTTATAAATAAACAATATACATTCTTTGTCAATTGATAAGTGTTGCATTTTAAGTAAATACCTTACAGATCATAGAGTGCTTCACTCAGTAGCATATCCAGAGGTGTGCACACCCCCCAAAAAAGCTCTCGCCTCTCCCTCCCCCAGAAAATTCTCGAAGCAAAAAAATTATGTTCAAGTAGTCTAAAAATCACCTTATTTAGTGATCTAGCACCCCTCACTTAATCATCGAGCCCCACCCCCCATTTCAAGACTTCTAGATATGCCACTGGCTTCCCTAAGTCTGCATTGCAAACAACCAATAAAATATAAATACAAATTCTAGAACCAACCAACAACCAATAGAATGATAAGTAATGAAAATGCATAAACAGTTACAGACCAATTGGATCTAAATCCTCGAAAAAGTTTTCTATAGTATTCAATCGCTGTATTTTATTATTATGTGTACGGAGGTAGAATAACCCATCCATAAGTCACGGCACCATTGTCTGAACTGCTATGGACATGGTCTGTGATTACTGTAGCAGTCATAAAGAGACACTTGAACTTAATTAAACTAAACTAAAACCAAATATTTGATAATTTTTTTTTTTTTGGTACATTTTCATTTGTTTTGGTTTTTTCTTCTCTGTTGTTGTTAAGCGCCACAAGGTTGTGTCAACGTGAGGCGCCATATAAATCCAGAATTATTATTATTATGTATGTCACATGACCGGCTGTAAACAAACATCGCCGAATTTGTCTACTGGGTTCTTTAAGTGCACACAAGCCAGGTGTGTACAGTACACTCGACCTCCATTGCAAGTCCTTATCTGAGACGACATGGTTCTACCAACCAAGCCAAGCAAAGAGCATTTCAAACCAGTGCCAATGTTATTGTTAAGGCTGTATTATTAAGTTTTTGTAGTGGCACTCGTGCCTTACCATAAGTCCCCTCGACATTACAGTAAGCACTGAATTTTAAAATGCATCTTTGTGATTGTCACAGCCAGTGCTGGAAAAAGTGCACGACCAGCGATTGGAAGCATTGACCATTACCCCGGAGGCATTTTAGAAAAAAAAAAAATTTTTTCCTTGTTTTTTTTTGTTACACATCACAATTTAATGCATACAGGTAATTAAATCTGATATTTATGCTTGCTCTAAACCACTAAATGTACTACTGTTTCGTAATTGTGTGATAACAGTTGGTGCTGGAGGCATTTGATCAAGATAATTTTCATGGTTGGAGGCACAAAAATATTTTTCCAGGCCTGGTCTCAGATGACCCCACCAGGTAACATTTTTATGAACTGACCCATGCTAGCAATACAAATGGCAGACATATGTACAGTACTTTGACAGACCCCCATTGCACCTCCCAGTGAGTTATTATTACGGCCTACCTGTAGGGCTTAGTCACCATTGCCATACTAGACCTAGGCCTACATACTTATAGTAAATTAGACCAAAAAGTTATTTACAAATTTATTACAAATATTAGAAATACTGCTAGGCCTAAGCCTAGATATGGAACGGTTAGCCTAGGAATAGGCCTAAACTAAAGCCTCCATTAGCCTAGCCCTACTACTCTAGCTAGCCCAGGCCCAGCCTAGCATATCTAGGCCTATATGTGCAGTCTCTAGAGCGTTTGGGACAGCGGCCAGGCTTAGGCTAGCTTAGCCAAAATCAATCCGGTCTAAACATTTTTAGGCTACTTTAAATACTTTTTACTACGCCTACTACAATTAGAAATACAGTTACTGCACTGCATTACCACGTGTTCCCTCACAGAATGTGTGCTGTACTATACAAAAATAAAAACTACAAACAAGCTTCCTGGCCTTGTGTTTGTTCTCTGTCGAGCTCCTCTCGTTGTGTGTCATGTGATCACTGAAGCGTAACACGTTTCCACCGGACAAAACACACCGGACAAGTTACTCTTTGTTCATTCATGCATAACTTTGTTGTACGCCACCTAAAACTCTGTATGATTTCATATTCTATACATAATACTCTGCCTATGCAGTAACTTTATTTAATAAGAAAGTATAATACATACTCCAAGTATTGAAATACACGCCATCGTTTTGGGATTCAATATTTCGACATTAATTATGTCATCATCAGGAATTGGAGTATGTATTATACTTTTTTATCTGAGATTAATCAGTGGACCTTTCGGTTATTTAATAAAGTATAGCAAGCTAATAGTGAACAAAAGTAAACTATTATTATCCTATCTAAACAAGTACGGTCACTTAGTTTCATATTTAAAAATAAAATTGAGTTATCAAAGTATATCCTTTACAAATGGACTCCTTTACTGAGTTCCGTTTCTCTTTTAAGGTTTTGCTCCATGTAATGATTTCTCACAATACCGTATTTCGAATAAACGCCCCACTTTGAATAATAACCGCCCCCTCGAATAAATGCCACCCAGAGCCTCATTTGGAATAAGTGTCTCCCTAGTCAAATAAATTCCCCGGTGCGTTTATTTTTTCCTCCTTTCTTAACAAAACTAATGGAAACAACATAATTCTTAACACATACTATAATGTTCTAAACCAGCAGCATTACATTTTTTCTAAAATGGATCTATAAGTCTTTAGGATCACGCAAATAACACATTTTATTTTATTTTTTAAAATTTTATTCAATTTCCAGGTAAATCTATTACACAAAGAGATACAAAAAAAAAGACAAAACAAAAGCTCTAGCTGAAAAATAAACAGTACCCTGGGGACTGCCAAAAACGTAAAACACTATCTGAGTGGCTCTTCTAATACTGTACTTCAAACAAGCACAGATAAAGTAATGATATACAAATACATTTTTTACGGTAATTATATGTTGTTGTTCATTTACAGTGAAATTAAGGGGCGTTTATTTTACACCAAAATCGAATAAACGCCTCCCAACTCTCCCTCAGAAACTCTTTTCAACAATAAACGCCCCGAGACCTTTATTTGAATAAATACGGTAATTCTGTACTGTGATAACTGAATTTTCTAACATAGCGCCCTCTACAAAAACATGTTTCTTAGCTTTTCTTGTTTGGCGGTTTCTGGTTCTAGTCATAGAGCTATTCTTATTATAACTCTATGGTTCTAGCGGTTCTGGTAGTTGATCATTGCGTTTATTCATAATTTAGATTTACTCATCTAAATAATACCACCTTGATTTTGCAGTGTTTGCTGGTAACATTCATACACTTCATACAAAGTGAGATGATAGCAAAAAAACAAAGTCGTAAGGAAGTATCCAGATCTAATGATGGAGTGAATATAATGATGGGAATAAAATTATACAGTACAATAATAAAATAAACCAGAAAAATGTAAATATGTATATCTGATTCGAGTAAACTGGAACAAATAGTGTGACACAAAGAAACAAATATCCTAAGTAGTATCAGACTTCGTTTCTTGCAAGCATAACAGATTGGACAAAAACTGCACTCGCTATATTCCAGTTTGAAGTCCACAAATTTATCAAAAGTAGACTAATCATGAGCTGTAATGTTTTCAAGACGTTAGATTGCTGATATCCGTTGCTCCTTGCGGCTCTTTTGCTCAAATTTTTAATCATCATTAGGCTTAATTTTCTTGTTTTATGATGTACCGTACTTTCATGTTAAAGGTGGAACTCGCGCTTTTTAATTTCACTTCATATTCATATCAATGAAGTACAGTAGCGATGTATACTAGCCATATCCATGGTACATCGTAGCACAAAACAGGTACAGTACTCACCTTTCCCTTGAACGTTTGCTCTTTTTGTTTCGTCCAGGGATAAATCAAAATGGTACTCTGCGTGTCGGGTTAATTGCTAGCTTCCAGGTACAGTATAATTATATTGATGGCCATGTGGGGTGTCTATAAAACGAAGACCCTTGATAGTTTAACAAACACATGCAATTTGGATTTTGCAACAGCCTATGTACAGTATATTAAAATAAGAGAGAAAAATAAGGGTTTTCTTTTTGGGGTCTTGGGATTTTGGGGTCTGCCGTCTTCGTTTTTTCCGTATATGTTTCCTAATTAAATTGCCTTATTGTAGATTTATTCAATTTTTTTAATGTGTTTGTGGTGTATTTGTGATGTTGTTTTTAATGTTTTTCTCCCCTTTTGTTAAACTTAAATTTTGAATTTTGATTGAAATAAAGTTCTTCGTATTTCGTATAGACACCACACCATGTGCTCACTTCTTTCTAGAATTTAGATGGCCACCATCGCTTTAGGTATTCTGATTAAAGATGATCCCTGTGTTTTAAGCACGGAAGATAGTCTGTGAATACGTCTTTCAGAGTTTGAGATGACCAACAGTGTGTTGGCACCTGACCAGTGGCGGCGCCACCACGCTAGGAGGGGTGTCGGGATCAAATTTCCCCGACAAGATCAAAACCGACCAGAGCCAAAGGGGCCCAGGAATCTTCAGTCGGGTTGGGTCGTAAGAGCACTTCAGATGCAATTTTCACAACATCCTTCCACTTTTGTCTGTTTTCAAGTTTGCCTTTCCAACTTTTGCATCACCATTTTTTGTCCATTCAGTGATGTTGTTTATCCGGACAATAATATGGACTTGAAATTTAGTTTGTGTAACCAATTTTAGAGTATCGCACTCTATAAATTTTTCCTCCCTGCAAATCGCTTCTTTTTTCACCTCCGGGGAGGAGGGTGCCTTTACCCACAGTCCTCTACTGGCAAATTCACTACTGCTGTGCCACCTTATGTTTTTTGGGCAAATTATTCTTTAGATGACACATTAAGTGATGATCAGTGTATCTCAAAGAAACAACAATTGATAAAAAGTACAGACTCAAGAAATAAGGAACAGAAAACAATCATCTCTACTGTAGTACAAAATGTTTATTTACAGCCTAAACCTTCTAGAAGCATAAAGAAAATAACAAATAAAGGAAAAATGAACGTTTGTTAGGGTAGGTAACTGCAAGTACCAACATAAATATGAAATCATTACTTAAATACATTCCAACAAGTTCCTGGATATCACAAGGTTGATTCTCATCTTCAGATTTTATATATTTTAAAAATTTGTAGGACCATTTTTCATCAAGGTACATTCATTATGCTGATTCATCATTTTTAAAATAAAATAATTAAAAATAATGATTAAAAAGTTGGAAATAATGTTGCGTTTCTTTACTTAAGTGGAACTGCCACTTCCAAGTTGTGTTCATAAGACCAGTTTTTTTGCGGGGGAAAAAAAAAACCATAACATAAATTGTTTTGATTTCTACTAAGAATTGTTACTAATAACAGCAACACACAGATTTTATATGAAATATGACTCTAATTTGACTATTGTTACTAATTGGTGTTATTTATGTTTCTTTCATAATCTTTAATTGCAGACTTAAAAATTGCTGGCTGTACGAGAAGCACTTGTTAAGCGTGTTTGCCCCAAGGCGTCGTATGTGCTTTGCGATAATCCTAAAACAGGCGTACGCATTTTCCTAATGTATGCCCATCAATAACTCCTTGCAGAATTCTGTCATAGAAAAATGACACCATGTTTCGATAGACCTTTGGGAAACGTACAATGTTCAGCAATCAATATTGAATAGAAAAAACATTTTTTTCATATTAGGTATTACATAAGAAACGGATTTGTAACGTTCCTTACTTATATGCAGTATGGCAATGATTCAGATAGTACTGAAATCTTACAATTAAAACATCTTCACTTTTCATTTTTTACACAAAATATTTTTTAACAAGTTAATAAAGCAATAATCAATTGACAATATTCATGAGTACAAATTTCGAATTGCAAACCCACGTCACCGGTATAATAAATAAGCAAAATGCTAATTAAACTTTCAGTAAAATGGTAATTAAATTTAATTTTTGTATCATATGAAAAATTTACCTTTGAAATTATGTAAAATTCTGAATTACAAACACTGTATTATTAATGGTAATATTAACATTAAGAATAGCAACTCCCCAAGTTCCAAACTGTGTAGCTATATTGCAAAATGGTAATAATAACTACCCAAGTCCCCAAGTAAAAGAAAGTCATACATATAAATATATGCAAAATATTTGGTAAAAGGGTGTTTTAAAATTTGTTCAAAAAAATATTTGTGTACTCTTTATGTTTAGTTAGTTTTTGAGAGAATAAAGTTAAATACAGTAATCAAATAAATCAAGGGATAAAGAAATATACTGTAATCATAAAGTAAGTAATTATATATATTATATACATGTACATAAAAGAATCAATGAGTACAACATGAAAAAAATTACTAGTCTGAGCAGTAACACAAGACTTAAAAGTTTGCTCATAAGTTACATAACAGTTAAAATCCTCATATGAGGAGCAATAGGGCTTCATGTGCTCATATAAGCAATGACCTCATTATGTACTTATACCAATTTATGAGCTAACAAGAGCAATAATGTAATGCTCAAATTGCTCATATGAGCAATAATGTTAACATGATTATTAAGTTTGTAGGAGCAGCAATTTAATAACACAAAAGCATATTTAGCAATAAACAGCAAAAACAGGTCACTATTACAGCTGATCAAATCTGCATCGACGCACGGAAAATGTACAAGTTTGCATTTGAGTTCTATTTTAATCGCTTAATGTTTAATACAACATTCAAGCACAATAAATCAAAGCCTAAAACATTTTTTCTAACATGTTGAGACACATACTAAAATTTTATTTCATAAGTTTGTTAAATATTGAATAAAATGTAATGTTTATAATTGCATATTTATTGGAAGATATAATGCTTATTCAAATTAAGGTGACAACCAATCATGATCAAATATTACTGTTTTTTTTTTTAAATCTTTAAACACATGTGTTGCTGGAATATGCAAATTAATCATGCCTCATCAACCTCAATGTATTACAGTATAGTATATACAAATTTCCTTTGATAGATTTGGTCCAAATTAAATTCTGCATAATAATTTGCATAAATTAAATCATAAGTTGGATGATACCATGAATAGAAACACAATTTTTAATTTGAAACTTGATTTTAGTTAATTCAGTACGTTAAATAATTATGTGTTGATGTTATTGGTACAAGAATTCTAATTCAAAAAATAAATTAAAATCATAAACGCATTTAATAATAAATACAATTCTACTAGTTATTTTTTTGAAGCATTCTATTATTCTTATTAAATTAAAAACAATAGGCATTATTATCGCTGAATACATTGCTGTTAAATACAATTCAATTTGTGAATGCGAGTATCACAAACATAATTACAACTATAAAATAAAAAGACAAAACAACTACAAAACACGTACATACACATACAAAGAAACCCTCATCATAGATCTCCACCCCAGGGGTGGGAATCATTTTTTAGTTGTACTGTACTAAAATTTCCAAAGACTTCTTACCAACAATATACATCAACAATATCAAGATTTTGCTATTTGAGTTTTTTTTTTCTGTAGACCTTGGTAGGATAAATTGCTCCAATTTAGGTTCAATTTGCAAACAGGCAACACTTGAACTATGTTTTTTTTTTTATTGTTGATTTATTTAATACTTGGTAATTCCTATAGTCATTAGTTGGATATTATTTTTCATCTTTTAAGTACATTCCCTACACTAACTACTGCCCTCTATAGAGAGGAGTGTCTCCTGGCGAGGTTTTTTTTTTTTTTTTTACAGTGAAACAAGATTTGAACAAACTAAAGCAATTGAATGAATCACAATCATGTGAAGAAAAACCCTACAAAAATATTTTTATTAAAAAAAATTTGTTATTGAATTGGAAGAATTAAAGTAGATCAGAAGACACCCTTGTGTACTACAATATACTTTAAAAGTTTAAATTTTGACTTTTGGTACTGCATTATTGCAACAGGGTATTGTTCATACATTGGCTTGGTTTAATTTTCAGTTGAATTTCTTAGTAATTGGAGATTTTGCTTTGCACAATTCTATACCAAAAAACCATATATTTATTGCAATAGGAGATATCTACTTAGGAAAGAATTATCATAAATCTCAATCATTTACTTGTAAAAAATAATAAGTACAGCAATTCAGTTTGACCAACCAAACCATTTTTTCAGCTACTAATTGGGATTAATTTCTCTGATTATAAATGGAACAAATACACATCAGTGGAGTACCTATTAAAACACACTCCTTTCTCATTTTAAATATGGACATTTTTTTGCATTATTTGTAGTCTCCAGAATTTATAATATTTTTAACCATAAGGGATTTTTTTGTGTCACGACAATACAACCTAAAATAAAAAATAGCGTTACCTACCACTTAAAATAATGATATATAAAAATATCAAATTCCAAACTGACATATAAAAATACTAAATTATTTACAATTACACTATCAGACCCTTTATCAGTATAATATCTAGCCCTGGAGTCTGAACACCACAACAGGATCCACTATGGAGTTTACTTTTTTTCCTTTTAAAACATAATCTAGTGTACAAAAGGCACAAGGGAAGTGGTAAATACATGTAACCTACACATGCACATAACCATTAGCACACAAACATGCAATTGACACGTGTATTGTTACTATCGGCAATGTTAGTATAAAGACTAAATTGTCATAATTCATTCAAACATTGCAAATCTTCAGAAAAAATAATTTACAACAAAATTCAGAATCATTGAATACCAGTGAAAAATACACTCACTGATCCCATAAACAAACAAAACAAAATGTTTACATCACAAAACAATTTCTTATTTAAAATTAATATTTAAATCAAATAAAAATACAACAATTCCTCAGACATAACACAAATCCATCTTATTTTATGTAAACGGAAGATTTTTTTTCTTTGCATCAAGGTTCATAAGAGATTATAGTTAACTTGCACGCTATTTTAAGACTGCATAGCTAATTACCTAATCTAAATAAATTAGCATAAAACACAACAGGACACCTGCTATTTTCATCTGATTTTGGGGTACAATTCTTGACAGTTTTCATCTTTACATACATTTCATAGTTACGATTACTATTTTTTATTTTACAATAAATTAAATCAATTATGGTAATCCTAATAAGAGCAATTACAATATAATTATTCATACAATTATTTTTATAACAAATATAATTCTGATAAAACATTAAAATTATAATTATCATGCAATAATTAATATATTATATATTAATTATATTTATAAAATTATTTTATAACAATATTGTAAAGCTCTATTGGAAGTGTCCTACATTTATAAGAACTGATGTTTAATTGTTATTTATTATTATTGCTAGTGTTTGGAAGAATAGATTATGTGGACAGCTTGCAAATTATGTTACTGATCAGATTGACAAATGGAAGAAAGCAAACATGCATTATTTACAGGACTCTCGAATTCAATGGACGCTGTTGAACATGAAATTAACCGTATGTAGAGTGCAGCACAAATAACAACCACAGAATGGTGTACAGTTAAAAATTATTTTATTGTAAAAGACTATTTCTTCTTAAACCGCATTCAATTTCATGCACTCTTCAGTTTTTGATGTGTTGGCATACCAACTTTATAAATAAAAACAGAACATCAAGGCTTTATTGATTATTGATTGTTTATGAACAATTTCTATCACATGGTGAAAGCAAGCCATACATGTAAACATCATCCGGTCCAAGAATTTGAATGTTCCAAAAAATATCCATATATCAATACAGCTAAGTAGTTCAAGAAACTTTTAAATGAAGTTTAAAATAAAAATTCAGTACCTTCAACTGACAGAAAACAATTGAAAATGAATTGAATAAGATTTAACTAATACCAGAAACAAAAATGACCAAATATAATTTTGGAAAACATCCTGAAAAAAGAAAAGAAATAAGAATTTGTAAGGTCTGTTAATAGATCCATCTTTGAAAAAATACAGTAGCAATCAAAGACCGGTTTTTCCAAGAAATCAAAGATACTTCACTGTTCTTATGCAATCTAAAAAAAACATGAGTTTGGGGGTAAATAATTTCCAAGAAATCAAAGCTTAAAGATGGGGGAAAAAGAAAAAAAAAAGTTTTTCTAAGAAATCAGAGCTCAAAGAAAATGGATATTTAATCACAAAAAATGGAGACTTCAGTATGATTAGCTGCCTTCCCAGCTGGATTAGGAAATAAAGAAATTGGCTTTGGTTGTGTGTGATGGTATGCAGTTTCCATAAGTGTCACCCTCCTGCTCCAAAATATGAAGTAGTTGTCATGATGCAAACCATATGGTTTTTGCCTTGGGTGAGTACAACTCAAGGTCTCAAGAAAGATTACAAAATTGAGGTGTCTGCCTCAGTAGCCAAAGGAAATTTCCACTAAAGAAATATTTCTCTTGTTTTCATACATTTATCTGTGAACCTTTTTGATTGCACACAAACAATTGGCAACATTTCTGGAAAATTTACATAGCGAAAATAAAACAAAATTTGGGTCGGATTTCATTCTTTCCATTGTGTTAGAACTTTGAATTCAGATATGGTCGATTGTAGGCTAGCTAGTCTTAAATCATTCATCAAGTTAAAAGTTATACATTAATTATTTCTAGTGAACAATGTACAATTATTAAAATAATTACTAAAGAAATTACAAGACATTAAAAACAGATTTTATTGTTCTTCACACATAAAGCATCATTAAAGTTATTGAAGATAGGGGTACGTTAGTGCAAATTTATACAGCATTTTAATGCACGCAATTTCTTAATATGAAATTGGTGTTAAACTTGGATTAAGTTATATTTTTTTATATCAGAGTCAGTAATATATTAATGAATGATTTGGGAATAACATAGATTATCTATGTACCAAAAACTATTATTTTGAAACGTCCTTCCATAAATCAAACGCAAATTTCTTTGACAAATTTCTCTCATTTATTGCTGTAAATTATCACTGAAAACTTGAATTCTGCAGTATCGTAAAGGTCTCACTATAAGTAACAATCATAATATCGAAATATGGAATAAAATATGAATATGGGAAATGGTTTGCTAATCTTTAAGGTTTTAGGAGTTGAAATTCTGCCATGTTTTATTGAGGCGTTGTTTATGGCCTCGAAGGCGGCTGCAACTTGCATACACGATTTTAATGATTAATTACTGAATGGTGTTTAGATCTTTTAGTGCTTAAACAGAAGTAGACGTTAACTTAAGCATGGAACATTGTCATATTTATACCGTTTATTTATGACTCTGCCTTAAGTGTAGTTTTCTTCACGGCTTACTAAAACAGACCAATGCATGTGTTTAATAATTAATTATAAAGTTTAATATTTATTTTTACGAAAATGACCACGAAAAGGGAAAGATGTTTGGAATAAAAGTACAAATAATAATAATAATTAAAAAAAACATTTCTGTAATCATGGAAAGATTGACTGCTGGTATAAAAAGATAGTTGAAGGTGAAAAAAAATGAAGACTGGAGAAAGTTTTAAAGTAAAATATTGCAAACAGAGTGAAGAAAAAAGAAAAAAACAAATTGTAAAAGAGAGTAGAGAAAGACAAAAGCATTTTGTTAAGATTGAATGTAAGTAGTAGAACTTGTAAAGAAAATTTTAATGGATAGCAAACAGTTGAAAGTTTAAGAAATACACAATATTGGAAAGATTACTGTAAATCATGGGAAGACGGAGCAAAATTTTAAAGAAAATTGTAGTGTTGGAACCAGTAGAAAGTAAAATACTAATACGAAAAGAGTTGAACTAAATTTAAACATAAAACAACATCTGAGTCCTGCCTGTCATTTGTTTTTCTTTGCTCCATATTAAATGTGGAAGCGATACTCGAATCAATAATTGAGAGCCAGGTATTACTAATTAACAACTGGATGACACCATTTTGATACATTCTGAATTAGACGAAAGAAATTTCGTACATATGTATAATCCTTGTATAAAGTTAAAATACAATATTTTTGGCTCCGAATATCAATATTGAAATTCTGTACTGATATTTTGTAAATATCTTATACTGTATATCATACACCATAAAGTAAGCGAAAGGCTTTCATATTAATAGATTGACTTTTAAAAAATCTATCAACTATGATGCCTTGCAGAGAAGGTATAACGTTGTTTATTCCGCTTATCCACATATTTATACGATACATAATAACTTAAGTCCTTAAGTTCAATGTTATCTAACGCAGTTTATTATCTAGCGCAGTTCACTCTAAAAAGCATTGCTGTTTACTTCTTAGTCGACTGGATACCATGGGTACATCATATCAAGTTTCAAGTGTGACGCAGTTGATGTGTTACAATGCTAAATAGACTTGGCCATGCACAACAGATGTGAGAAGCAGAATCACCATCATCCAACTTCTCATCCACCTACTGCCAACACTCCACCCATATATGGTCATCATTCAGTCGCATCAAGATGTCACAGGTCAACTGAATCTAAGTTTTCTCCAAGGAAACTTCTAATTGCAAATCAAAGTAGAGCAGACTGCCTAAGCCTAAAGGTACAATAGGCCATGCTAGTACATAAAACGCAATGAGACAAATTAAGAAAATTTGGTAAAGTATCAGATATTAATTTGATGTAAAGTATGAGCAAGAGAATTATAAGGATGACAACACTTATTTTTACAGTTTTCAAAAAAACTACCTACTCATTATTAAAAGTTGTTTAATTTTGACTTCCTAAGTTGGATGTTAGTGGCACCTATGTGCTCCCATAGATATCAGATTTAAGAGCTGATGTTATTATAGGCAATGCTTGTGATTGGTTATATTGTTGTCATAAAACACCATGTCATCATCATGACAGCAGCTGGAAACCCATTATTATAGACCACAACTAAAACTTATTTTTTACTTCCACTGATGTAAAACTTTTTGTGGTAACAAATGAAAAAGGTGTTTAAAAAAATTGGAAAATGTTGGTTGGGCAATATTGTCAATGAAGAATGGTCGTTGATTAGGTTTAACTTTAATGGATTGTTCCAAAATTCCAAAAAAATTGTAAACAATTTTATAAAAGAAAAATAGCTGGTTTAGTGGTAAAAATATGATAGAATTGTGTAGATGAATGGGTTTGTTGAGGGCTAGATTTCATATTTACAGAAATGTTGATGACTTTGATACTGTTCATTGGCTAATATCTCATTGTTTATGGCAGAAGAAAAGTAACAACAGAAAGTTAATTACATGCATGGAAATTAAAGTTGATCTTATCATCGAAACTAGCGATGGTACTTGTGACCTTTCTGGAAGAAAGAAGCTGCAAAAAGGTCTTGAATTGGAGTCAAATTACAGACAACTGCACCTGGAAAACAGATCACATAATCAACAAGGTAACAGCTGGCAGGGGGAGGAAAGCTAATACATCAACTCTACATAAGCAGACAGTTTCCATATAACACTTTGCAACAGATAATAAGCATGTTGAAATATTGACACTCTAGGCAAATAAGAGTGTGAAAATGCAAATAGAAATGAGGGACAAAATATCATTTTCAAGGGATTAAATGATCAGTATTTAAAATGCAGATCTGTTTCTTAGTGCTTGCATTGCATAATATTTATCAACTCCTCCTTGCAAGCATAATTAATGTTGCGTAAATATTGCATTAATTAGTTCAATAGATAAATAAATAATTACCGAAAACAAAGGTCAAGATAGTCTTTCAAGGGCATACTTTTCAAGGTGATACAGTTCACTGGATGGAAATGATGAAAATAACAGGCTACCATACACACTTTTAATACTAACTACAAGATGAATCTAATAACTACAGAAAAAATCTATATTAGTACTATTGTTATTTAGTATTGCTGCTTCACATAGGCACCAAGTCCAGACGTCTATCCGTATAGCAAGTAACAACATCTGAAATGGAGTCTACATATTACCTGTAAATTTATTTCAAGGGTGATATGGTGGTATTAGTAACTGATATTACATTTAAAGCTAATTTTAGACTCAAAGCAGCTATTTCCAAGACATTTTTTGGATGGCTCACACTGGTTTTTTATGCCTGGAAAAACCCTATAATCTTGGGATTGGATATTATAAAGCATGTAGATTCATACAGATTTTAAACTCTTAAAATCAGAGTATGACACCATACTATTTTTTTCAATTGTTTATCGCCTTTTTTTTCCTTCAAAAATTGTCAGCACGAGGCTTCTTTAAAATGTCAAAACCCAAACGTTCCTTCAACATGGCTTCTGACTATCATCAGAAATTTGCAAAAAAGGAAGTTGGCCATTGTCTGATTAGGGGAGGAACACTAAACAAATCTTTAACTTGGCCTAACATACATATATAAAATTACAAAACATGACATTCCCACTTCAATAAGTGGTTAAGTATGAACAGTTATTACAAACAATTTTAACTAAATAAAGAAAAACAAGATCAATTACAATGTCTGGATGTACAAATCCATCAAAGAAATAAAACAAATAAAACTTCAGATATGTCAAAGGTTAATCCTAATTTGCATAGAAAATATATCCACAATCACTGAATGGATTCAGCTCAATTCTACATTTTAACAAGTAACATTAAAAATCATTTTATAAAACTGATTATGTCTGGTTGTTAAAATACCATTAATAATCAGCTTCAAATAATAATTAACGACCATATAATGTCTCTTCTCATTTTCCCCATATTTCTTATAAAATAGTATAATACAAAAGTAATTTTATTATAGGGATTTTTTTTTTTAAGTTACCCTATAACCATGTCAGGATGCTATCCATTTTGCTTGGTAACAGGTCCGCTTCCATGTCCGTCAAAATATCGGAATTAAACGGCTCAGGTAAACTGGGTAAATCATCATTTTCCATATTTATTTGCGTCGAATCTGGTGCTTCCATGGATGCTATGTCTACACTAGTACCTGGCATGGAGTCGAGGAACTCCGGTGGCATTCTGTGCGTGTTGTTATTGATGTGTAAATTTAGGTCGGGTTTCTTCTCAACTGTAAAAGCAACGGATATATAACATTGAAAACGATATGTATCTATGTTCGTTAATTCACTACCGCCATCCAGATATTAATGTGGTCACATGGCTTGGCAAACAGCGTATCAAGATAATTACAACTACATTCATATCTAGAATATAATTTAGTACAAAAATGAATTTAAACGTTAATGGCAATAAAATCCAGATAAAATTCATTATATCTTGCAAACTTTATATAAAATGTTACTATTTTATTTTAATAATATCTGGATCCAGATGAATTTTTCCAATAAATATAAGAGAATAGTTAAATAAATTTATCTGGTTTATGTATTTGACGATAAGTATAAATCAAACGTGATTAATGTTGAGATATCAAGCTTTCAGAGACGACGCAGCATACAAACTTTCTCACATGTTAAAGAGTTCAAGTTTCCAGTGAATCAAGACAGTCTCCTGAAAATGATGACGGCCTGTCGCACACAAGCAAAAATCTTCCGGACAAAAATCCACAAATTCATGATATTTGTATGTTTTTATTAGTAAAGTGTATTATCAAATTGTCTTTCTAACTTCACCTGGTGACGGGTATCAACACATGCACCATAGATTAGATGCGTTAAGAAAGTTCATTCAAACTCATCCCTTGAAAGTGGGACTCCTACAAAAACCAACTGATACAGCCTAGTAGACCGAATCCGATATTGACAGAAACAAGATAGCAACAGGCGACGTTGTCCATAACTGTAACAAGGTAGACTTGCCAGCCCAAAACCAGCCTACTTTCACTAATTTTAATTAGCATAATAATGTGGCAGTATTAATGTATATTTCAGAAGCTGTACAGTAATACTAATTTGGCAATAGCAAGTCCATGCCAGTAAATGACCCATCATTTTAAAGCTTATAATGTGGAGAATAAGAATACATATTCAAAGCCAATTTTCTTGTTTTGGTCATTGATGTTGGTTTTGGTATGGCATGACCTAAGAAATTTCTAGGATTTGAACCCGGTACACTAAAAAGAGAAGATGGGCACTTTCCACCAAACCACAAATACACCTGGGGCTGGATTTATCAAACTAGAAATCAGCTTAAATTCATTTTCAGTCCATTTTTATGCTTTTAAGTCAGATTTATCAATATTGCTTAGCCCAAAAATTGCTCAAACTTAAAAAGTCAATTGTACGCATGTGCCATCTAAGACAATTTTTAAGCTAAGATTTTTCTAAAATGGCTTGATAAATCAACTTAAGATTATTTGCTTAGGGACATCTTAACTTTTTTGACTTAAGACACTTGCTAAGCTGAGATTGATAAATCCTGGGACAGAAAATTAGGAATACTGACTCACCAGTGTCTGTCTCCATTTCATCTAAGTTGGTGATGATGCCATCTGGAGTTCTCGGATGACTGTAATTGCTCATGCCGCATCCACTGTCTCCACTTTCCTGCCGGTTGTGTCCTAGGAAGGGATCCAGTCCAGCCGTGCTTCCTGTGTTCACTTCATCATCATCATTAATTTCTCTTCGAATCTGGATCTCCTTGAATAAAAAGGAGAGATATGATTTTTAAATGTAAAAAATGTTTTCATGCAGTTTAAATTAAAAACCTCTAAGCCAATTTTTTTTTAAATCCACTTTTTTTTAAAATTTTCGGATAATTATATCATCATTTTGTAATATACTTTATGGCCTGTATTTACTGTACTGTCTTTGAGATTAATAAAAAAAACCAAAAAATCTGAAAGAGATGTACAGTGGTACGAACTGAAATGAAAATATGGATTTAGACTAAAGGAAGGAATCGGACTCTCTAACATCTAGAATACTACTAATATTTACAGAAAGCAATAGAATGATTAAGCAAACAAAACAAAGTTTATTGAATCTACCTAAGAGAAAATGATTGATATCTCGTTACGTTTGTATTGTACATGTAACAATGCTGACAACTACTGGGTTTGTTTTTATAGAGTTGTGAGTTCTAATGAAGCTGAATTGATTCTTCAGCCATCAAGAAAAGATATTCCATTCATTGAATAAAAAGTCTCTCAATAGTCACATAGATTGTGCAAGTAGAAATGAATAAACAATCAAACAAAATTGAAACACACTTTTGTTTATAAGAACACATTTCATAAGAATCTATAAGACTGAGGCTGAAATTGCTTTAAAAAATCAGAACAAACTGAGGCTGAGGTAAAATCTCAAATAAGGTTTCAATGGAAAAACCTAAAAAAAACCAACAAATCAGGCTAGCCATACTTAAAATATTAATTAATCTCTAAAAAGTTTATAACATTAATGTATATCTATTCCATTAATGTGATCAGATACGATCTAATCTGTCCCTGTGTCTTTCTGACAACAAGAGGGTCACTAAATTTATGGTGCAGTGTAAAATACGAACAAAATAAGAACAAAATAACATTTTGGGCCTGAAATTGGCAAAAAAAATAAGAACACCGAGTCTGGGCAAAATTTGAATGTTTCTTATACAAAAAGTGTAATATACTGTACATTAATTCACTTTCCCTTATTAGCATTTCTACAAATGTTATTGCTGCGAAGCAGCCAATTCATATTCTTGACAGCAATTTGACCTCTGAAAGGTAATTGTTTGTCAAAAAACAAGGGCCTAAGACGACTGAAAAGCGGAGTTTCCTTCTCTCGTTCTGCCGGGTAAAATCAATTACTTTAGGCGACCTTTGTAGACTAACCTACACGTACCAACGTCCGCATGTCGCGCTAGCCTTATCCTACTCTAGG